GCTGGCGTCGTTGCGCCATTGCGATTCTGTGATCGCCCCCATCAACATTATACCCATATCGTCCCCCCGTATGGCACCCCTCATCAAGAGTGACCCTGCGCTGGAGTGTTCTATGGTGTGCTGCTATCGGGCGGCGAGGGAGGCGGACGAGCAGGAGGAGGAGGAGGAAAGCCGGCGGGCCCGAGCATTTTGCAGGAGCAACCAGGCGCCAGTTTCGCAAATTAACAAAGCATGCATATCACAGGTCAGTTAGATGCTGCCTCTTGCTGATGCATTGGGGCTTGACCATCGGGATACAACTGGTGGCCGTGTGGTTTCTCGCTCTTGCGCATATGGCCTTCGCCAGGATGGTGCAGTACAATCAGTGCGCGTGCAACACCATGCAGAGGACCCTAGACATAGCGCTTGAGCTCCCCAACAGGGGCGTCATCGCACTCATCGGCACTCAACTTCGAAGTCGGTGTGGACTCACAGAATGCACGTTCAGAGCAGCTGGATGTTTGTGTAGCCCGCTTGGCTTCAAGATTGGTAAGTTTTCCGATCGCAGTTGTGGAATCACTTTATGTTTCGAGGAACTGGCTTCAGAGAACACAACATACCGAAGGTCTTCGAGGTGCCACTGGCGCTCTGGGGCAGGTGTGCGGCGATGAGGATACAGCAGGGGCCGCTTGAGCTTCTTCTCATTGGTATGCACTTTCTACCGAAACACACGAGGAGGCATGAACGTGATAATCTGGAAACGACCGTCACACGCATGATCAGTTGGTTGACCGAACCTGTCATAAGATAAGTGCTCGAGACACGGTATCCATGCTCACGTTCGTGAGTGATGGCCAACATCACGATCGTGACACGGTAGGCTGCAGAGAGTTTGCCACACGCACAGAACATAACACTTCGAGCCAAGTGAGACCATTAATGGTTACATTTTTTGGCACACATTTCAGACTGGCGCTCAGCTATATTGGAGAGGGCAGGTCTAAGACAATCATTGGTTGGCACGCTATGCTGGGAGCAGTAGAGAACGTCAGAACGCTAGCCTCGTCTGGTCTGGTCGAAGGCTCCAGTTGCATCGTACGCCGCGGCCGTTCGACCATCGCCCGGTACAGCTGACGGCCGTGATTGATTTTCAGTTTCAGCAAATACATGATCGAGTTTAATGGCCGTACCGGGAAGCAATGCACTTCGCTTTCCAGACGGGGCACGCGAGGCATTTTTTTCAGTCAAGCCCAGCAGCGACTGCTACAAGCGAGGCCAGATCTCTTAATATTAGCGAATCAAGGAAGAGTGGAAGTGATCACCACGCAGACACTTCAGATCATCACCGCTGTGGCGACCGTAGTATTCAGGAGGACGCCGTACTTCACGGAATCCCATTGTGACTACATTCAGGAGGTCAAACAACTTCTTGCAGTTAGAAGAGCAGCTCGTGACCATTTCCATTCTGGAGTCTGGAACATAGATGAGGGAATGGAAGCGACATTACGCCTCACCAGAGCCAGCAGACAGATGCGCATCACTGCCAGAAAGTATTACAGGATGGTGAAATACCGTAGATTTTAAGAACTTGCGCGAGCAATGAATGCTGGCGAGCCGCGCGCAGCGCCCGCAATTCCAAGACTGCTAGCGGGGCGACACACAGGTCCACGTCAAAGCCACTGCATATTGTTAGCTACTTTGACGGCGAGAGCTAGTCAATGGAAAGCGCGCGTTGATATTCCTGAGAGATATGGGGGGGCGCGCAGCGAGCGACGCGACGCCACAGAGGCGGAGGTGGTTGAGCGAGCGCGCGTTCGACCATCGCTTCAACTTCCAGTTTTTGAAGCCTGGGGGCTTGCAAAGGACGACTGGAAGCAAGTGCAGAAGCGAGCCTGGCGTATGAAGTTATCGCGGGCATGGCCTGAGCGGAGTATACCTGTCGAGATGCTTCGAATGGCCGCTCATCCAGAGTGGGCGAACCCGAGGGGGCCAGCCTCGCCAGTCGGGCTAGGCTTCCACGAGCGCATGCGTGACTTCGACGAGCTGCAGAACGCGCTCATGCGTTTTTTGTTCCGCATATCGCAGAGCAGGCGGGCTCTCGGTTCAGGTGGACCAGGCTCGGGCACGCCGGCTGCCGAATAACAGTTTTTAGGAAGGATGTGGTGGGGGGAGGGTCATCGTGGTGATGCGCGCGGTGGGAAGGTGCTTCCACATGTCTTGTGCGTTGCGCGGAGACGCGCCAGCTTTCCAGTTCCCAGTGCGGTGGCAAGGTGGGCGTCGGAGAAGGAGAATGAGAAACGCCATTCTTTCTCAGGCTTGCGCGTCAAGGAGACTGCGTAAATTGCGGATTTGCCATCTCAGTCGGTTCCACGATGGCACGGATGCGTTCTATTGCATACCGTTTCAGTGTATCATGAGTGTGTTGCCGCGCATTTCCAGGAGGTGCGACCTCGCGTTTGCCGGGGGGCGGGTCTTGCGCGCGTCGCGCGCGGGCGCGATCTCGATGAGGGGCGCGATGGGGTTTCCCAGGAGGTCATGCAGCAGTTGAAAGATTGATAGCCGCATGTTTGCAAGCGCTGCGAGATTGGGCACGGAGCCCGCGGCAGCGTGATATCTCGGAAACATTGCGTGGCACCGCATCTGTTCGCGGAGAAGGAAACGCAGATTGGTTCCACGGCGTTCGTAGATTACGCGGGGGGCAAGGTGGTCATGGAGGAAGGAGGTGATACCACCGAGGTCGCGCGCGGAATCAACATATCACGGCATGGGTGGAGAGACGCGGGGCAGCGCATAATGTCGGCAAGCAGGAGGGCGCCCCGCGCATGCGTCGCCGCGGGGCTCGCAGTATTGCGCGCCAGCTGATGCGGGGCAAGAGAGGCGTGCAGGGGGGAGTTCTAGCTGATGCTCGGTATCTAGGAGTACGAATATGAGCAGGCCTCTCTTGCCATTGCGAGATTACCCTTCGCTGGGCGGCAGTTGAGCGAGCTTGGTATAATTCTCGCGGCTTCTGGGCAAGCGATTCGTTTTTTGAGCTTCGAGCCCGAGCGTTTCGAGGGCACTTACTCAATGCGGGACTCGGCGGGGCTGAGACTTCGACAGGACGCGCTGGACCATGTCGCGCACATGATGTTCATAGAGCACATCGCGCATTCGTGAAATATGGGGGGGGGGGGGGGGGGCGGCGGCGAAGGGCATTTGTGAGGTGGAGGGCACGCGCGTAAGACAGATGTCTGGATAGCTGGTTTCTAAACAACTGGGGGCCGCAAGTTTTTGGATTGAGCTCAGAATTCGACGGCTTCGACGGCTGCAGGCCACTGTAAGGATGCCGCTCACGCGCGTGCAGTTATCGGCGAGCGTATTTGGAAATCTGCTCGTAGGTGATACTTTCTTTGTTCTGACTGATGGGCCGCTTCGACCCGATGCTAATCCACGCGCGAAGCAGCGGTGGCTATATGTACAGGCATTGTACGTCATTGATGAAGGATTGGACCTTCTAGAAAGATACCATAATAATTTCATGCGCATCCTGGTCGAGGGTGGCGAGGACTTCGCACGCATTGACTTGAGACAGTTGAGAGCGCATTTTTGCTTGTTAAAAAAACAATTGCGCAGCGTGGTGTACAGGGGCATGCAACATGAGCTGACATGGTGATGGTCAAGATTATGAACGACCATATGTGTGCACATTGCCCAATGGTGATGATGCCCCATGCACGGCGCGTTCAAGCACTCTCGTCCGGCTTTGTACGCATCAGGCTCATGCTTGTGGAGGGGAACATGGCATCGGAAATTATGCGCGTCGGCTCGTAATCACCAGTGCATGTCCATTGTGTTCTATTGCATTTGTGAATACTAACGCAGCCAAGGCACATGCCATCACTAGCATGCATAAGAAATTATGCAGAACGGACATGAGTTATCGAGCACATTGGCGTCATGAGTGCGATCCGATTCAATGCCCATTATGCCCCGACTTTTTTGACAACGCAAGAGCTTGCGTGGCACTGCCGCGATCATCTTGCGCCCCTGCTGCCAGCTGGCCACGATGTCGAGCTTCCTATTGCTCGGGGTGCGGGAGGTGGGATCGAAGAGACAGAGGGCGGGGGCTCAAGGAGGGCGGGGCGCCAGCGAGGGCAGCAAGAGCGTTGACCAGCTGGGCAACATTCGATTCCGATTGCGTGCGCAGCTGGAGGCGCGGGTCAGAGCAGTAGAGAAGGGCGCCGCATTCGGCGCAGCCCTGCAGCAGGACTACCCCGTTGCAGTTGTGAGGTGCGACGCCTATCTGGGGTGCCTCGAGAGCGCGAAGGGGGAGAACGGTCAGGAGAGCATGGGGGTCACGGATCGGGGAGGGCCAGGTCTTCAAGTTTTTTTCGCCGTAGTTCGCGCCCGGGGGGAGTTACGAGCTCGCGGATTCCTCGCTGTGTTCGCGGAAGGCGCTGAGGCGCTTGAAGGGCGCGATCGAAATGATGGGGGTCGGGGATGCGAGCACGTGGGCGAAGTCGTGTTCAGCGATACCCATCTACAGCAACGAAGCCAATGCAAAGGTCCGACGGTGCCCCAATGCGTTGGGGCAGATACCCATATGCCACAAAGTCGAAGACGAGGATCGGTCTTTCGCAGAGTAGCAGACAACGCAGAGTCAGGGAAGTGGGAGATGGTTCAGCTCAGCCCAAGAGAATTTCCAGCATCAATCGTGAACTTCGGCAAACAAGCGCAGGTCAATGTCCGCATGGCCAGATTGCTTCGGGGCGCTGGAGGACAGCGACAGATGGGCAGGGTTCCGAGGGACAACATGGCCAGGCAGATCAAGGGCAAGGGACAGTGAAACGGCGAGGGCGAGCAAAAAACAGACAGCTGAGCGGTAGGGGCAAGAGTAAGGGACGTGGCAGAGCTGTGAATGAGCGGGCTCCTCCTCGTGGCAAGGGGCGCGGGAAGGGCAGTTTTTTTCCCACACTGTGCCTCCGTAGAGGGTCGTCAGCCCGGGCGGCGGGGACCAACGCCCGCGCGACCGCCCGCGGAAGGAGCGGGCACCGCCGCCTGATATGCGTAATTATTGTGTTCTATACCCGTCCTCGCTGTATTTGCCTGTCCTGTTTCTTTCTCTAATTGTAATCTGCGTGTTTGCAGTTGTAGCAGCGCGAGAGCCAGCATGCATCAGTGTGATTGTATGTGCAGGCATCCAAGAGTCCACATCGCCAGGAGTCAGTAGTGTAAAACTTGAATGGTTTGAGAGAAAAGGGGGAGGAACAGGAAGGGGGGAGGAGGAAGAGGAGGGGGGGGAGGAGGAGGGGCAGAGTCGGCCGCGCGTTGCTTGTTTCTCGCTGCCAACCCTGGAATGCGCTGGTTCTTGGGGTGTTTCTTGCCGCGGGGTGCGTTCCAGCAGCTGCGCTTCGCCGAGAGATTGCTGGCGGCGTCCGAATCGTCCAGGCCGTCCGCTAGAGGCCAGAGCTGTGATTGGAAAGCCGCGTGGCCTTTCGTTGCAGTGTCCTTAGGGGCGCAGCTTTCGGGGGGCGCCCGAGAATTATATCCAAGCGCGCAGGCTGCCATTGTGGCATTTCGCGTGGCGATCGACAGGTCGCGCTTCAACGGTCTCTCTTGCGCGTGGCCATTCTCGCGTACAGGCGACAAAAGAGGGGGGATATACTGCATCACCTTGTACAGGGTCTAGAGGACGGGTGACGTCATGGGCGATTTAACGTCGATTGCAGACCTATTAGGCACTGGTCGTGCCTCAAGGCGACTGGCGATTTCGAGCTCTCGCGAGAATAGTTGCCATGGGCTGATGAGGGAGACGCGGAGAATGGCGAGGAGGCGAAGGGGGAGGACGACGAGCAGAGCAAAACATCGTTGTATTGCCAAGTGGGAGGGGGAGAGGGAGACAAACAGAGAGAGAAAGAGAGAGAGAGAGAAAAAGAAGGAAAACAAGTTCGAGGGAAAACGGGGGAGTTGAGCTCCCCCCAAAAAACGGGATTCCTGGCTGGACGCGTCGGTGGTATAGGGGGCCGTCATCGTTTCTTTACATCGCCAGGCCCCTTCGTCCAACGGCCCCTGCGAACCCCTTGTGAGCGCTCCTCTCTCTCTCTCTCTGTCTCTGCCTCGCTCTCCGCCTGTTTGCCCTTTTGTCGTTGTCCTTTTCTCTCTGTCTCTCTCTGTATCTCTCCCTGTGTCTGTGTGTATCTCTCCTCGTGTCCATCGGTCTGTCTGTCAGTCTCCCTGTCTGTTTGTCTGTCGTTCGGTCTGCCTGTCTGTTTTTCTGTTTGTCCGTCTTTCTGTCGAACTGTCGGTGTGCCTGTTTTTTGTTCATTTTTTTTTTTTTTTCTCTCTCTCTCTCTCTCTCTCTCTCTCCCTCTCCATCACAACCCTTTACGCGAGAAGCCGTCGCGGGCGCTAGGTTCTTCAGAAATGGGCAGCAGTTGGACGACGCCACGGTGCTTTGCTGAATCTATCCTTGTTGCTCGCTTCATTTGCCTGCAGACTCTCAACGAGTGATGGAAGAGAAAGAGGAGGTGGTGGTAGCAAGGCTCAGCCCTTCAACGCGCATCCTCTGACCACCTCTGGGTAACCAAGATTAGGGAGCCATGTGGAGTCGCACCCCTCTTCCCGTGCCTTCGTCGACCCGGGTTTCAAGGATTCGAGAGCTACTCCGTGGCCGGCTTGGATTCGCGACATGGCGGCCCTTGTTGACCTGGGTCTGCCCGTCGCGGAGGATGGTTTCGGCCTTGAACGTGAAGAGCCCTCTCTCTCTGTCTCCCTCTCTTCCTCCACTTCTCTCGCTCTCTTTCCCTGCCCCCCTCTGGCTGCCCGTCCCAGTATCCAGATGAGAAGGAGGAAGAGCAGAGGATGAGGATGATGAGGAGAAGGAACAGGTAAGCAGGGAGGCAGGCAGGTAGGTAAACAGGTGGGTGGTTAGTCATCTGGCGGTCTCGGATATGTCCTCGTGCTGACCGGATATGTTGGCGGGAGGAGGGAAAGAGGCGGTGGGATGGTGGTAGAGGTGCCGTTGATAGGCTGGAGCCCTCCAGTTTGTTTTCTCAGACCCATTTTGATTTGGCAGAGATACGTATATACACGCCCCACACTATGTAGATGGAGATTCGATTGGCGTTCCGCTGCTCCCGCAAAGCGAAGAGTAAAGGCCAGCATCATCTCGTTTCGCCCACGTGTTCCGGCGGCGCATGGCTTTACTGATTGTCCCACGCATCTCTGAGGCCCCCGCGTTACGCTGGGCATCTTGTTGGCTGCCCTCGGTTCCCACGACATCTCCATGCTCCCCGTGGCTTGGCCCGATGGACTTGGGATTGTCCTTGCACTACTGCGTCGCCCATCTGGCTTTGCTGTTCCGTGTCATGACTGTATGACAGAATATTCCGACCCGTGACGGCGCACACAGTAGCAGACTATGCCGTAAGGAAGTTGTATCGATAACGTTGTCTAGGACCCTTGCTGAAGTTAGGCAGTGTGGGGGCCTCGACCCCCTCCACGCCGAAGACGAATGTCTGTTGAGCCATGCTGAGTAATGACTTCCCACGGATAGAGGAGGAGGAGGAGGAGGAGGAGGAGGAGGAGGTCGAGGAGAAGTTGGTGGCGATTGTCCTGCACAGATGATCGACCAGCCCCAGTCACGCGTTTGCTGCCACCACTGTTCTATGGCCCCCGTCCTAGTTTCTCTGCTGCCGGCTTGAGCCTTTGCCTGGACGTTTTCCTGCCAGATCGGCATCCTCCACTTAGGGGGGCAACAGATACCGATACAATACCGCTACTCTCTGGACCTCTCTCGGGGTGCGTTCTGACCGGGGTTTCGAAGCCAAACCAGCCGCTGCGACGAGGGGCAGGCAGTGGCGTCGGGATCTGTCCCCCCCTCCTCTTCGCTCTTCTCCGCGCCGCTGCCCTTCGGTTCCCCCCTTTCTCCTCCCCCTCCCTGATGTGCCACCGCAGGTGTCCCGCGTCCGCGGGGAGGCCTATCCGGCCGTGAGCGTCTCCGGCGGCGCCGAGCTGCTTCTCGTGTTCGACGAAAAGGAGCCGAGCGGTGCCTGCGAGGTTTCCTCCTCCGCGTTCATCCTTTCGCCGGAGGGCTCGAGGGTGGACAGCTACCCCCCACCTTGACATGTCGATAAGTGAATTGTCCGTTTTCGGTTCTCGAAAGGGCACCGCGGCCGTCATTTTCCAGACTCGCGGCCGCCAGGTCTGGGTCCGAGGTCGTTTTCACTAAACCAAGTTTTACTAAAGTGGATTCTGTCCATCCCCGAAGGGCATCGCGACCACTTGCTAGCCCCTCATGGGATCGCTTGAGCTGAAGCGTCTCTGGCTCGGGCTCGGGCTCGTCTTTGAGGGATTGTGCACCTCACCCATGAGTGCATGATTTGAAGTTGGTGGCTTCACCTGACGCTTGTTGCTGAAGGGGACTCCGCCAGCTCTGCCGTATCTCCTTGCCCCGAAGAAAAACAGCATACGCATGCACTTCTGGAGGTCCGCGCGGATCTCTTGGATTGGGTTCCTCCTGGCGGCACCGCCGCTGGCGCGCTCGCGCCAGGGGAGGAGGGCCAGTGCTGGCCCACTGAATCCGTTCGGACCTCTGGAATATTCCTTCTACGATGTGTGTTCTCCCCACGAGCGTTGTCCCAGCGTGTGGTCACCGAGCTCTGCAACATCGATACTACGCACACCGTTGCGGCACTCATCACGCTGCCAGCGTCGCCTTGAAAGGCATCGGTGGACCACACGTTGGCGCTAGCAGACAATCCGTGCGGACATCCCAACCTGTATGTCTATGCCTTCGATGCTAGTCTTCCCGTCGACACCCCTTGCCCTCTCCTGCGATCCGCGTTCTCTCTCTTCCTGCGTCCTCCTCCCTGCTCTCCTCCTGCCACGTCGCTCTTTCTGCTCCCGAATTCGTCATCCGGCGCCCCTTCCTCCCTCCCTCCCTCCCTCCCTCCCTTCTTTTCCTGAAATCACAGACCTTTAGCAGCGACCGTCCGTTCGCGACCCAGCTTTGTTGCGTCCCCTCCCTCAACCATCTCCGCGAGGATACGTTGGAGGGTAAGAATGAGAATCAAAGAAAAACGCATCCACATAAGTGTCACAGCGTAAATCCAGTTTTCTCGTGGACGTTCCAAGTTCATGCTCTGCCTTTTTGGGTACAAGGGGGGAGCCAGTGCGTGCGTCGAATCCGTGACTTTCCACACGCTGCGTGAGCGCGCGACCGCGTGCGATTGCGCACGGCTATCATTTCTAGTAGGGGCGTCGTCGTCGTTCGGGCATCGCTGCCCTTCGCGGCGAATGTAATTACGCTCACGGACCAAGTTTGGGAGGTACGGCGCGCGTCCCGGAACGGGCCGCAGCCCCGATAGAGCACATTCCTGAGCCCTTGTTGCAGACCGTTCTCTAGCCTGCCGACGGCAACTTCCAAATTAAACGGGGGAGGGATTTTGGGACATGCAGGAGGAAGAGGGATGGCCCAGGGAAGGTGGCCGGAGGGAGTGTCCCATTCGCTTGGACTTGGACGGATCCCGCGTGGCCAAACGCAGTGCTGTCTTGGGCGTGGCTGCTCTGCCCGACGGTTCGGGCGAGTGGCTGGCCCCCCCGGCGACACTGAAGTTCTCGTCAGTGTTCGGGGAAATCCGCTTCCAAAAAGTTCATGTTGCGATTCCTCGTGGCCCTTTCGACTTTTCACGACGCCAAGTTTTCAAGGTGTTGCGCGTCATAATATGTGAGGCTCTGTTGTGTTAGCGTTGCAATTGTCGCGCAACATAAACAGTTGGCTGCCCAGATTCGGGGACAAGTGTCTTCATTCAAAATGGATGAGTCCATTTTGCCTCTGACCAGCGCTGGCCCAATTCGATCGATCGCACGAATACGTGTCTTCGACGGTAGGACGGCACCACCGACCCGTAGAACAGTGCCGGGGCCTTTGGTCAGCGACAGACAACTGGATGTCGCGTGCGATTCGGGAGGCAAGGGTTGCGAGAACAGGGGCCCCAGAAACGTAATGCCCAGAGTCTTCTTCATTCTCCACCATTATTGTTTTCCTCCGCCTCCCTTCCATTATTTTGAATCGTTGCGCCCCGCGTTTCGGATCCGACTTCGTTTCCCCCCTCCCTCCTCTTGCACCTCTCGGTTGCCACTTGGCTCTCGCACGCTCTTGGCCTCGTCGGCTACAGTAGTTTCCCCAGGGGTCAGCGCGCACGCTTTCCGACGTGTTCTTGCACCACGTTCGATCAACTCCCGCGCGCGGGCTTTCGGGCAGCAGCGTTGCGTTCGCGCCAAATGGTCCGCAACCAGTATTTGTTATGTTTACGCTTTGATTCTGGGGAAAGATGATGGGGGTTGGACTTGAGGAGGAGGATGACCTGAAGCAGCAAAGGAGGATGTGGTGGCTCAGTGGTGCAGGAGTAGGACGATAAGAAAAACGACGAGACCGAGGGAATGTGACGGGCAATTTCCGCCATAATACTTGGTTGGGCCATTGCCGCTCCTGATCCGAGGCGGCAAATTGCTGCAAGTGGTGCTCCAGGCACAGGAGCGGAACATGCTTTCTCTTCGCCACCGGGCGCATCGCCCTGCCTCGCTACCAGCCCAGCCCTGCACCAGTGATCGCGATAACTGTAGTAGGTTCCTTCTCTTCACCACCTCCTCTCTGGTACCCCCCTCCATATGTTCTTTCTCCTTTCCTCGCAAGCCTTCTTAACTTCGAAGGGCACCATGGCCGATCCAGTCTGACGTGCGCATGGGCATGGGGTTCGGCCAGCGCCGACGCTGTATCTGGGCCCAGCGTGATTCACGTCTCGACCTGTTGCTGTTCGCCGTGGTGTCGAACGGACCAGCGCCAGCAGCGGTGGTAACGAGAAGAGCTTGCACGCTCCCACCATGCAAACATCAGCCGCAAGACGAGTAGAGACCTCACGATGCGGGGGAAGCATCGAACCTTTCCTAAGGTGGTCTTGGAGACGGATGCAGCGCCTGCGCAGAAAATTCTTGGACGGCCCACGGAAAAAGGAAGACCAGCAGGAGGAAGGAGCAAGATAGCGTATGTTGTTCTTCGCATTGCGAGCTGCGGCTTGCGAAGGAAAGGAGGAGGACGAGGAGGAAGAGGAGGAGGAGGAGGAGGAGTAGCAAGAGGTGCAGGAGGAAAAGGCGGACGCGGATGCCTGCACTGGCGCGAAGATTCCTTTTTTGCCCGCAGCGCGGATGAGGGCCACCTCTTAGAGGGAAGACCAGGAGGTGAGGAGGAAGCTGAGAGGAGGGAGGAGGAGGAGGAGGAGGAGGAGGAGGAGGAGGAGGAGGAGGAGGAGGAGGATGGGCAAGAGGAAGAGGGAGGAGAGAGAAGGGGTTGGGGGTGGGACGAGGTAGGACGAACAAGAAATCAGCAGGGATGATGGAATTGCGAGGGTGGCGTGGAATGAGTGGGGGCCGTCTGAGCGTTTTCGTGTTCCTGACGCCTTCTCCTCGCCCCTGCCGCTCAGCCGGGCGTCGCTGCCGCAACACCCCCGGGGTGGGTGACCTCTTTGGGCGGCCGGGGCGGCACGGCAAGGCCACGGGGCTTCGGGAACTGCTCCAGCAGCCAGCCCGCCAGCCTGCCGCGGCTAGGCGAGCTCGTGCACCGTGCGGTGGCACGGGCGCCCGTCCTTCCTCGACCTGCCTCGTCCTCTTCGGCCTCCATGCGCTCGCGCTCCTCTTCCTCGTCCCCATTCCCCCTCCTCCTCCCCCTCCTGTTCCCCCCCCCCTCCTCTTCCGTCCCAGCCCTCCTCCCTCCTCCCCCATCCTCCTCTTCCCTCCTCCCTCCCTCCTGCCTCCTCCTGCTCCTCGCGCCTCCTCGACATGTCTCGCCCTCTTCGACTTCTGCCCCCCCGCCCCCCCCCCGCCCGGCCCCGGAGGACTTCGAGCACGCGCCCCCTGGCAGGCACTCCGAGGCGCGACACCCGTCCTCGAGTTGGGTTCTTTGTTGGGTGACATTGATTATGTTTTTCGCGTTCGGATTCGTGTCTGGAGTGTGGGCGCATTTCGTGTCTGGAGTGTTTGCCGCGTCTCCTGGCGCCGTCGTGTCTGGAGTGTGGGCCGGCCTCAGAAGGGTCCCGTGCCCTCTCGGGCGGCTGCCTTGCGTTGGATCCCGACGGCGCGCCGCCGCGGTCGAGACGGACGGAGCCTGGCCATCCTCGGGGTGAGGCGAGACGCGGAGAACGAGACGCAAGGAAATGTGCGAACAGTATTCGTGTTCCAACGGTCGGGGCATCGCATGGCGAAGGGGGGGAATGGGGGAAGAGGAGGACGAGGCGGAGGAGGTCCCCGAGATGAGCTCGGGCATGCCCGCACATTTGGTGCCTGCCGCATCAATCTTCTGCCGTGCTACCATGTCTGCATCTCGTTTAGTCTACAGTCCCTGTACCCTGGCGGCGACAGCGTTGAACTGCGGTTCCTGCCGTGCTGGCATTTCTGCGCCTTGCCGGTCTGCTACCCCCCCATCCTGGTGGCGACAGCATGAAACTGCGGTTGGGAGGGAAGGCCCGAAGAAGGAGAGACGGCATGTACATCATTTTGTTGGAGGCCCGCCCGGATTTCTTGCATCGGCGCTGGATCCTCTCTGTCGCGCGGAGCCCACCAGAGGTGGCGCAAGAGGCGTCGCCAGTTTGGCCCAGCGCCCATCCAAGAAATTTGCACAGACCTCTAAAGGCGGAGGATGAGGGAGGAGACAGGCGGAGGAGTAGAAGTTGGAGCAGGAAGGGTCAGGAGCAGGAGCGCTGTCGTCGTCGTTGTCGTCGTCGTCGTCGTGACTGGGGCTAAGGTCGGCAGGCGCACACTGCTGGCCCGGGTTGGCGGTTGGGCGGTCGCGCGTGGTTGCCGACGATGATCGGAAGTTCCAAGTCAGTGCGTTGACCACATCGTCGGGTCTGTCATTCAGGAGCAACGTTAGGGGGGATTCGCAGGCCTAGGGTCCGAATCGATTGACCCAGAGCTTTCCATAACGCTCTCAGAACGTCTCACAACGCTCTGAAATTGCCGCTGTGCCCGATACATTCTTTAGATCCGCGGGCTCTCAGAGGTCCCTGATTTATCCCGATCCGATGTTGTCCTTATCCTGGCTGCGTCTTGGGATAGGCCCCGGGGGGTATTCATCGACCCTCAATCGTCCATGCATTGCCGATTGGGACTACTAGCAGGCCCCGCTCAGGAACATGCGGATTCGCTACCGAGAGTATACCGCCGATCCATCGGCGCTGTATCGTCGATTCAAGGTCGATGTTCCCCCGCTGAGCCAGTCACCCCCTATCGGTGATCCTCAGGATTCGGATTTACCGCCCGTGTATGAGACTTGGGTCGCTCTCCGAGAATGTCTCGGTCCAGTTGGGCATCCTGGGTCCCAGATCGGTCCCTCGACAGGAGCCGTCCTCACCAGCTTCCAACTCGTTGGGTTTTTTTCACTAGGTAGCTCTGACTACTGCCTGGCGCCTCCTTCTTTGAGGCGCCTTACTCTTCATGTTGTTGCTCGTCTGGTTTTGGTGCCAGCCATTATGTGTCGATCTCTGCGGCCTGATCATTCCATGCTCTGGCGTGTTTGCGACTCGTTGCTTGCACGTTCTATGCTTCGTTCTGCGTCCTCCCTTTTTTCACGCATCCCCCATCCACCTCCCTTCTCCATCATGCTTTTGTTCTCCATCGCCACCAGCTGTCCCTTCGCTCCACCTGCATCACGTCAGACTTCTCCCATGTTCTTCCTGCCCCCTCCAACTTCACACATGCCGATCCGGTTGCGCATCCTTCTATACCCTTCTCTTCCCTGCCTCTATTTATCTTCCTTCGCCTAGTGCTTTCCGTCTCAGCGTGCGGGGGTCGAGTTCGGAGTTGCCGGGTATTTGCTTTTGTGAACTCCGTTTGTTTGGCGCCGATCTTGTTGCCAGTGCCCTATCTTAAAGAAGGAGGCGGAGAAGAAGGGGGGGAATCCTGGAGCCGATCCTAGCATCCTCTCATAGAAGGGCCTCCGCCCTCCTGCCCATGTCTGGCTGGTATGGCCTGGTGTCCTTGGCGTTAAGTTGTTTCACTCTCGTCGCGCGCCCTGCCCTCTCCCGGTGCTCGTCCTTCTCGTGTCCAATGTCCTTTTCCGCTCTTGTACGCGCGTTGTGACTCGGACCGCCCTGCTCTCCTGGCTTTCTGTGCCACTCGCCCTTTCCTACCACGCGCCCGCAGGTCCGGCCCCCGCGCAAGATGATGTGAGCGAGCCGCTCGAGTGAGCCTACTTGCTGTCCAGACTAGCGCTGCTCTGCTTGCCGTGGCGGGAGGAGAGCAAGGAGGATGAGAGGGTACATGCAAGCAGGCCTAGGATAACATCAAATCGCTCCAGAGCGATCCAGAACGCTCTCGGAGCAGTCCAGATCGCTCTGGACCCGCCGCGGCAACCGATACATAGCCCAGTATCGTTTTCTCAGAGTTTCCTGGTTCATCCGCATCCGGATTTGTCCTCATCCTTACTTAGTCTTACATTCTGAATCAAAGACCCAGAGAGCTCGGACCTCCATCTTCTTGCTTTCGTTTGATTTTGGGGTGGTGGTCGTGGGTCCCGACACAGTCTTTCGTTCGTGGTGATCTCTCGCAGTTTATTGTCCCAACCATCCTGTGGTGTCAGGTCCTCGTTTTGAAGAGACACCGACCCGCGTCACTCACTCACTCCTTCCTCCTCCCCCTCCTCCCTCCTCCCATCCTTCCCCTTCTTGCCTCTGCCCTCCGCGTGTACCTCTTCTGGCACCCCTTACACGTTTCGTGCCCCCATAGGGAGCTTTACCGAAGGCCCCAGTGGGATCGCCCGCATGCGTCAGCAATACCCAGTACAGTGTTTCGTGGCCCCATAGGGAGTTCCACCGAAGTTCCCAGTGGAACCGTCCGCATGCGTCTCCACCCATTACTGCGTTCCGTGGCCCCATAGGGAGCTCAAGCAAACGCCTCAGAGGGATCGCCCGCATGCGTCCGCAACACACCAAGTTCAGCGTTCCGAGGCCCCCTAGGGAGCTCCACCGAAGGTCCCAGTGGGACCGCCTGCATGCACCCGCCACACTCAGTGCAGCGCGTCGTGGCCCCATCAGCAGCTTCACCGCGTCCGCCACACCCAGTGCAGCGCTTCGTGGCCCCATCAGCAGCTTCACCGCGTCCGCCACACCCAGTGCAGCGCTCCGTGGCCCCATCAGCAGTTCCACCGATGGTCTCAGTGGGACCGCCCGCATGCGTACCCCCATCCAGTACAGCGCTTCGTGGCCCCATAGGGAGCTTCAGCGATGGTCCCAGTGGGACCGCCCGCATGCGTCCCCCCCACCCAGAACAGGGATAAACCTCGACCCAAGGAAACGAGCAACATCCAGGAAACAGGGGCGCGAACCCCGGACCGCAAAAGAACCGAACCCGAGAAGCCTAGACCACACGAGCCCTGGAAGCTCGAGCACCCGCCCATGGAAATGAGAAACACGCCACCCCCGGAAATCCTGTCGCGTCCTCGAGACGCCGACGGCACGCTCTCCTCATCATCGTCACCATCATCCTCATCATCATCTTTCCCCCCATCATCACCATCATCCTCATCCTTAGAGTCATCATCGGCATCCTCATCACCATCGGTATCGTCACTTGAATCGGAGAAGTCGTCGTCGTGGTCGTCGTAGTTCTCCGTCGTCGTTGCCGTCGCCGCCCTCGTGACCGTCGTCTTCCCCGCCTCTCCCGTCGCCGTCGCCGTCGCACGCGGCGAGTGCAGAAGATGTCCGCGGTGGGCCTCTGGTCGCGATTCTTTACGATATGTTTGCTGCGCAGTCGAATCTCCAGGGAGTGCCAGAAGCTTTTCAGGGTGTTTTCAGGGCGCCGTCGCCGCATCCGATCTACGTTTCCCCTGGACTCGCCAGCTCTAAGAGATCGTTGAGGTATTCGCCCCAGGCTTGGAGCCAGGGCAGTTTTCTGCTGGGGAGGCGAAGAAAAGGAGCGAGGGAGGAGGTATGGGTGAGGGAGGGAGGGGAGGTAAAAGGAGGGTTTGGGCGGGAAGAAGGGAGTGACGAAGAGACGGGAGGGAAGGCAGGAATCAAGTGGAGAGATTGGAGGAAGGTAGTGGAGGAGGTGGTGGAGGGTTGGGGAGGGGGGCGGGAAGGGAGTGGAGGGGAGGGAATGAGAAGAGTGGCGGATGGAGGGAGGGGAGGAAGAGACGAAGCTAGGATATGTGCGGAGGTGAGGAGAGGCAGGCAGGGGAGGAGAGGGTAAGGAAGGGAGGGTTTCGAGTGGAATGGAGCGGAAGTGACGGAGGGAAGTGACCAGAGGGATTAGAGGGGAAGGCGTGGAGGGAAGGGAGGTGCCGAGAAAGTTGCCAGACGCCTTTTGCAAGGCCTGAGCGGTTGGGTCGGCCCATTCATACTTCCGCCTGGGGAGAATCAGCAACACGCTTTCGAACTCTGGGTACCAAGGCAAATCACGGTGCCGTGCCCCGATCTCCAGCAAAGCGATTCTCACGACACAACCTTCCTTATGAAAAGTGAGCCATTGGACTAGCTCCGCCATGTCAATCAGCCAACCACTGTGCAGACCTTTGTCTCATCGCATCTTGAGCATTTCCTGCAGACTTGGCCGGCCTCGATGCGTACATACATGCCCCTATGTGTCGAGCGAGTAGCCAGGATATAGCAACGGTTGTCGCGAAGGTGGAAGAGGTGCATGTTCTTGGAGTTGCATGCCGAACCGCTGCGAAACGCAGCCGTGCACGTGCGCTTCAGCTGAAACGGCTTGAGTGCAGCCAGTCGCCTCCCAGAGGGACTGACAAGTCTCCTGGTTGAGGAGGTATTGCGCCGCCGCGGCGTCAAGGGGAAGCATTGGGGGGCACTGGGGCTGTCTTCTACGGTGGTCTCAGTGCGAATTGAGGTTGAGAGTGGAGAGCAGAGCAGAGCAGGCAGCGCCTTCATGCATTTAGGCAGCCCAGGGGCCTCGTGGGGTCCCTCGGAGGGGTTTCGCAGGGGCCCGTCCGCGTGCGCTCTCAGGGGGTCTCCGCGCCATTCTAGTACGGCCGCGGCGCCCTCGAAGGGGCGGTCGTTTGAGGTCGCCAGCCGAGAGGCCAGCGTAGGCCGTCGGGAGGGCCCGTCGCGGGTAGGTCTTGGGCTTTTGCTTGGGCCCGGCCAGGAGTCTGCCCTGGTCGTTGTGGAGGCCACTTCGCGGTGGAGGGTCCGCTCGGTATCATCGGAATAGGTACGGATAGAAAGGGGACAAATGCCGACACCAGTTCTTGTCCAATTTGACCGGTTTTCGTTGTCGGTGGGCGGCGGAGAACGGGACGATGATGTTTTGAGTTGAGGGGCAGGGAGTGCACATTATCGTGAACGGCCACGGTTTAGATGCTAGATTTCGGGATCGTCTGGCCAGGCCCGCTGTGTGATGGACTCGGGGAGTCCAGCACACGCGGACCCAGGCATCCGAGTCTATGATTTCATCAGTGCTCGGTCCCACAGGTCCAGACCCCTTCCTGGCGCATTTTTGCCCAGGGACCTTTTTCTGATAGTTTCTGCTCCCGCAAACAGGCTCTAGGTGCCCCAATTGAGAAACAGCCACCACCAGGTCGAGAAGGAATCATGGGAGATCTTGGGATGCAAGGGGCTGAAGATTAGCGGGTAGTTACAAGGGGAGAAGAGGGGTGGAGAGAGAGGTGCGGGATGGGCACATGCCTCCCCTGCTCTGGACTCGCGCGGTGTGCCCAGACGCAGGGGTGTTCCTCACTGCGGCGCGCATCAAAAGTGTCCGTGCTCGCTTTCTCGGGCAGCCCCTCGCTTTGAAGACGGGCCTCTTGGCGAGTTCGAGATTGGCAAAGAAGGGTACCCGCTGCATGGATGATGGTGGAGGTGGTGGAATGGGGGGGGGACAGGAGATGATCAAACATGATGATGAGGACTAGGTGAACAAGTTGGAGGCCATATTCGGGCAGCCATGATTGAAAGCTGCAAGAGCAACCTGGGGTATTCAGCCGCCCAACAGCACTTGTTTACTGCAATGGTTTTCGCAACTGCACCGGAAGCCAGACTAAGCAGGGGTGGGAGGGGCGTTTTGTTGTAGGCGCTATGTTGAATGATGGTTTGCGCGCGTGTCCCTCATCGAGTGGTAGGTGACTGTGGGCGACGGCCGAATGCGTGCTGCGGAGGAGCGGCGGTAGAGACTGAGGTGAAGAGGAAATTAAGAGGGGATGTTACGAGGAGAAGGGCGATACATTTTCAGATGCGGAGCAGGGGGGTGGGGAGTAATCCGCTGGAACAGGGAGACAAGGCAGACAAATGTTGCCCCCTTTGCACATTGGAGAGGGGAGAGGGGGAGGAATGAGTGCAGGGGTGGGAAGACTACCGGGGAGGGGGCGCAGGGTTAGGAAGGCCAGGAAGAGAAGTTTGAGGGCGAAGGCTCGGCCGAGGAACAGGGCAGTTTGAAGGAGGAGGTGGGGCAAGAGGGGGCTTGCGAGGAGGACGAGGGACCCCTTACCGGGTGTGTGAGGGTCCTGGTCGACCGACGATCACGCGATCAAGCCATTAGAGCATTGATGGGGAGGGGGGCCAAATCCTGCAACGACGCGGGGCAAGCCCACATCATGGGGTTCCCAAATTTGCCCCAACGTGGTGCCAGTGGGCAGGAGATTAGCAACATGGGCAAGGGCACCCGCGCAACCTCCTGGACGGACCTCCCGCCCCTCCCTGGTCGCACCCGCCCGGTGTACAGAGGGGGCCGGCTACCACGCCTGACCTCTACAGGTCGACCACTGGTCGAGGATGGAGGCAAACGTAATCTACAAGTAGAGCAAGTACCTGTTTACCCCAGAAAGCTCCTAAAGGTAGAGCAAGCACGTTCCTACCTCTCTGGTACGAACGGTTGCTTCTACAGGTCGAGCAAGCATCTGTTCACCTCCAGCCGCCCTCGTCAAAGCGCATGCGAACCGGGGGCAAACAGGTACAAGGTACAAGCTATCCATGTTTACCACCAGCGGGTACCTCAGGGCAAATTGGCTTCGATAGGTATGGGCTCTACTTGTTTACCCTGAAGCCGCGCCCTACCTGCTTACACCAGGCGGGCATGGTGGCTGAGTGCTCCAGGGTGCGCCCTACCTGTGAGTGCTCCGCTACAGGGTGCCGCCTACCTCTGCACTGACCCCAGGGACGGCGGCCCGTCTAAACGGGCGGTGCCCGCCCCCTACCACCTTCGACCATCAGCGATTGTCGCCAGGGACAAGGGAGGACAGGGGGAGCAAGCAGGCGGAGATGACGAAGCTGGGGAGGAAGAGAAACGATATTCGGGCAAGGAGGAAGAGGAAGAGGAGGGAGAGGAGCGGGAGGAGGATCCAGTTCGGGAGAACGGCGTGGATGCCACCGATCCCCTCGGGTGGTACTGCCACGAGCGTTGGGCCGTGCACTTTGCGTACCATTCGAGCCCCGTTCCCGCGCGTCGTTGGCGCGTTCTCGTCGTTTCCATCTCAACACCCTCGCCCGCTCCCTCTGTCTGCCTGCATTTCCCGCAGTTGTCTTACGCATTCGTCTTTTCTTCATTCCCCTCCACCTGTTGCTGTTTTGATTCGCGCCCACTGCGGCCCGTGGCCGATGCCAATTTTTGTTCGGATTGCGGCGCGAAGTAAAACCAGACGACCCGCATTGCGCAATCCAGGCGCCGTGCTCGGGACGGTCCGTTTCAGACATACCGCTAGGCCGGCTTCGGCGGGCGACCAGATCTGGATGCCATTTCAAGAACATCTGTTGGTTCAGCTGTCAGCGCGGGTTGCGCCTGAAGTGTGGCTTGGCGGCGCAACGCCAACGGATAACGTCCACTTGCGACGGAGGCCGATGAAGTATTGCCAGAGGCCCGCGCGAACAAGTCGTTCGGCGGGTGTCGGACGCCGTCAAACTACACGAGCTGTGTCGCCCTGCGACATTGGGTGTCTCACCCCCACCAAAGGCTGCGGTGACTGTCCCCTTGTCCCCTCGCTTGAAAAAGGAGGGAACTCATTAAATACCAGGAGAAGGATCAACGGGAACATAACGGCGATGCCCTGGCTGCCATTTCTCCACCCCTGGTCAGTTATGCCATCCCTTTTCATTTTCACTCTATCGGGGTTCTAGGCTCCACGTGCTGAATTTTCCTGCGTTGCCGATGGACCATGTAGCTGCACTGTCAATGTGTCGGGAACAGGAGCTGATGCAGGCAACGCGGGTCTTTATTCTTGCCGACGCGACGGGTACAAGACGCGACCAAGGCCGGCCTGGTTGAGGAGCCAAGGGCGATGATGGAAATGATGGAGATGACGTTGATAATGATGGTGATGATTATGCTGATGATGATGAGGATGATGATGCTTGTGATTGATGATGATGATGATGATGATGCTGATGATGATGATGATGATCATGGTGATGATGATGAGGATGATGCTGATGATGATGATGATGAGGATGATGATGATGATGATGAGGATGAGGATGAGGATGAGGATGAGGATCATGATGACGATGATGATGATGATGATGATGATGCTGATGATGATGATGCTGATGATGATGATGATGATGATGTTCACGATGCTCAGGATAGGTGGAGAGGGAGGAAGGGGAGGATGATGAGGATCAGGAAGGGAAGGAGGAGGAGGGAGAGGAGGAGGATGAAGAGGAGGAGGAGGAGGAGGAGGAGGAGGAGGAGGAGGCAGAGGGATCTAATTTGAGGGAGTGCCTGTGAAACTCACGTCATCCTGACCCCCGGCGCAGAAGTCAATGGCACCGCTGGTGAGATCTGGGAAATCCAGCGAATGCGAAATGTGGCGAATCCGGCGACGAATTCCAACTCAGAAAAACTGGCCCCTGGAGCCTCCCCAACGAGGCCGTCAGAGGCCCCCCTGTTCTGTTTACGGTGAGATCCGGCGAATCTGGCACATCTGGCGACGAATGCCAAGCCGGCGCCCTCGCGTGGTACATCCTCAGTGAAACGAGGATGGCTAAAAAGTTGCACCGGGACGTCGACGTCCTAAGTCCTGTCGAGGCTTCATGAGGCAGTACAGATAGATCTATAGGTTTGGGGTGTTATTTTTTAGCAGAGGCCCCCGATCTGGGAAATCTTGCGAATCTGGCGAATCCGGCGACGAATTCCAAATCGGCGCTCTCGCGTGGGACATCCTCAGAAAAACCGGCTCCCGTAGCCTCCCCGAGGAGATCCTCAGAGGCTCCCCTGTTCCGTTTCCGGTGAGATCCGGGACATGTCGTGAATTTGGCGAATCCGGCGACGAATTCCAATCCGGCGCCCTCGCGTGGGACATTCTCAGACAAACTGGCTTCCAGAGCCTCCCCAAGGAGGCCCCCAGAGGCCCCCAGTGAGATCCGGGAATTCCGGCGAATCTGGCGACGAATTCCAAGCGGAATTTTTCAGAATTTTGGGAAATCGCAGGGACCTGAAGGGCACTCTACTGCGTGCCTGAGGCAATGTGGCAGATTTCTCTGTCTGGTTTCACAGTTGCTGCGGTTATTGTTGCTTCTGTCAGGAATATCGTCATTTTTGTGGCAGTGCTTGTATCCAGTCGTCCACAGCACAACAGCTAGTACCGCGGGTGATCTTGCTGTTGAAGTTCATTGCTGCTAAATTTGCCGTCGCAGCCACCGCCACCTGTGCTGCCACTACTACTACTACCACTACTCCTTTACTCGTATTATCACGACGAAGTCGATTGTGATTGCTACGGCTACAACTAGTACCGCTACTACTAGCACTACTGCTACTACTATTATCATGATAGTTTTAATGCCACTACTACTGCTACAACAACTACTACTACTACTACTACTACTACGAGGACGACGACGACTATTACTATTACGACGATGACGACGACGACGACGACGACGA